TCCCTCTATACTGTCCATACCACGTTCGCAAGGACATCGCTGTTTGTTGTGCGATCCTGCCACCTTATGTCCATGATGGAGTGCAAGCATCTTTGGTGTAAGCGCTCAAGAAGTCTTAGTTGTTTTCTGTATAGTGTCCATGTCTCAGAGCCATATAGAAGGGTTGAGAGAACCACCGCCTGGTGGAGCGATTTGTTCTTCCAAACTCTCGCTGGAAGGCGACCAAAGCGCTACTGGCCCTGGCCAGACGGTTATCAACTTCCCTTGAAAGTGTGGCATACTACCTAGATATGAAGTGGTCTACCACGTTAAGGGTCTGTCCGTTTACGGTGATATACACATAATTATGATAGATACACAATACTGATCCAAAATCTTTTTTTTTACCCATTTAAATGTCTAAATTACAAAACAATAATTCCTTCCGCTTTAAGCATTTTTTACACTTGGGGGGGGGGGGGGGGGGGGGGGTGTAACTTTCTTCTATTCCACTTTTCTTTTGAGTTATGTTTATTTCTACACAGATAGAATCGAGATTTAAATCTGATTCTCCTCTAGATCTATATAAATGTCAGAGTGAATGCGAGGGACATATCGTTAGATCATTGGGAGTTTTTTCTTGTTCTACAAAGCACATGGAACTTATGAATAAAAGCTGGTGTGTGTGTCACTGGAAAAAAAAGGGGGCTGGCTAGCGACTTTAAGTAGAGAAATCACACAATTTAAATACGATTTTTTTTTTACTTTCGCTAATAATATATACTAATTTTGTATATTTTTAACCCATTTTTAGACTGTCTACCACTCCCCTCTATTATGTTAGCCGATTTGTTGGTGTGGGGCGGTGGGCTACTTCATCTATCCCCCCCCCCCCCCCCCCCAGAACCTTACGAGTGAATTAGTTACACATCTACTTGATATTCTAACCAATCATTATACTATGTCGTTCCCCTTCAGGTAGGTTGACCGATTGGGTGTGGCGGACGGGGGGCGATTACATCTCTTGCCCTCCCAACCAAAACCGGGGTCCAATTTTTCTACAGAACTCAAAGTTTGAAAAAACAAAATTAGTTGACTATGTATATGATTTGTATATTATGTCGCTCCTCTCTAGTATCTTGACCTATTCGTGGGGGGAGGGGAGGAGCTGTTGCATCTACTGGCCTGCTTACTCTAGCACTTGGAATAGAATTCACAATGTAGACATGAATCCTAGAAATACAAGAAAAATCTTAGGGCTGAGGGCTTTGCATTGGGGTTGTGTGCCTCCTCATGTGGCTGGAGAGACCTATATAAGTCGGAAATGTTATGCTGGCCTTGCTTTTCTTCTGCCTGCATTTTTCTTCTGCCAGCGTTTTTCTCTTTTCCTCAGCAACCTGTGCGCCAGTTTTCACAGCGCGACGCCATGATGCTCTGCCATGTGCCTCTGTCTCCCAGGTGGCTGGATCTGTGCTGAACGCCTTCAGAGAAGCTTTGAGGGTAACCCCGAAGCGTTTTCTTTGACCACCTTGTTAGCGCTTTCCTTCCCTTAATTGGCCATACAGGAAGCGTTTAGGGATGCGGTGGTCTTCCATTCTACCTGTCCATCGCAGCTGGGACTGCATCAGGATTGTGTAGATGCTTTGCAGAACCGTTCTTTGAAGGACTTCAGTATCTGTAATTTTTTCTTGCCATTTGACTTTCAGTAGTTTTCTTAGACATGTCATGTAGAAGTATATAATATACATGCGTTAAGGTTAGGGTTTACTGGGCGTTAAGGTTAGGTTTTATTAGGCGTTAAGGTTAGGTTTTACTAGGCGTTATCGTTAGTGTTTACTGGGCGTTAAAGTTAGGGTTTACTAGGCGTTAAGGTTAGGTTTTACTAGGCGTTAAAGTTAGGTTTTACTAGGCGTTAAAGTTAGGTTTTACTAGGCGTTAAGGTTAGGTTTTACTAGGCGTTAAGCTTAGGTTTTACTAGGCGTTATTGTTAGTGTTTACTAGGTGTTAATGTTAGGTTTTACTAGGCGTTAAGTTTAGGTTTTACTAGGCGTTAAGGTTAGGGTTTACCGGGCGTTAAGGTTAGGGTTTACCGGGCGTTAAGGTTAGGGTTTACCGGGCTTTAAGGTTATGGTTTGGAAAACAATCGCCCTCCCACTCAAAAATTCTGGATCAACTAGTGAATAATAAAAATAACAATAAAGATTCAGGTCGAAACTAAACAGAATTTTGTTATGATCCCAAGCCCTGAGAGTGTGAGGTTTGTTGTTCTCTGTCGTTCCATTACAAGACACAAGAGTCGACAAGTTTGTTGTTCTCTGTCGTTCCATTACAAGACACAAGAGTCGACAAGTTTGTTGTTCTCTGTCGTTCCATTACAAGACACAAGAGTCGACAAGTTTGTTGTTCTCTGTCGTTCCATTACAAGACACAAGAGTCGACAAGTTTGTTGTTGGTGGTAGTTCAGCCGTAGCAGTTGCTCTAAAGAGTTATAGAATCCTAGTCACCAGTACACTTAATGGAATGGGATATCTATAGTTTTAGTATCTTTCTATTGTTGAATGAAGATTTAGTTAATTCTAAATGTCCAGCTCCAAGACAGCACAAATAAAATATTTCCTACAAAGTAAACTTTTATTTTAATCTCACAGGCTGTTAGTCCAGAGACTCTTTATTTTTATATCTTATTGTTGTATTACCAACATTTCTCTCTCTACGTACTGTAGTTCCTTGAACTTTGTTCAGCTGTACCATATGTTTATGTAAGTCGGTTTTATTCACCAAATTACTAACTGATCTAACAAAACTTCCAAAACTTCGTTAGATACTATTAATCTAATGGAAATAAATAAATACACTCACGAAGGGATAAGCCTCATTATTCATAAATCTTAATTTTCAAATTATTGGCTAGTTGCTGTAACCCGGTTTACAAAAGATCTAAATCGTATGGTAAGGCAGTAGATAGACAGGCATATACAGAGATAGATAGATAAATAGATAGATAGATAGATAATCATTGAATGATTAAATACATTTGAATACAAATGATGTGAGAATATTCTATTGAACAGACTAACATGACTCAAAGATGACTAACTAAGAGTTATTTTTAGAGCTGTAAATTATTTCAGACAAGTGATAAGTAGGTCATGTCATGTGATTTGGAGGCTGCAAGAGCTGAGAACGTGTTGCGCTGCCAGAGCACGCGCGCAGTGGTCAATAAACTGGCAGCCTATCACCATGGCAACAGTGATTTTTTTTTCCCAACAAAGCCTGGGCTCTAACAGAAAATCATCAAAGTCCCAATCGACAACAATCTAAAACTGATAGTGTATGGGATATTTGATATCAAAATACATTTCGATAATGCTGCATATTAAGAAATGTTGAGTTCCATTTAAACAAATTGAACAAACATTGTATGCTTATTTGTAATAGGAACTTTGAGAAGGCTAGATGACCTAGTTGTGAGAGAAATGTCGTCTCATGAAGCTACAAGTAAATGTCTCCATCTTCTCTAGCATAGAACAAGAACAAAGAGAAAAGCTCAGAAACAGAGACAATTGGAATGTTCAATTTTTATGACAAGAGAGCTAGAGAAAGACTTTTGATTGTGTCAACACTCTTCACGACTAAATCTTAAAATAAACTCTAGTTGGTTACAATAGCACAGAGATGTGTCTAAAGCAGGGGGTGGGTAACAGTGCTCCTCCAGAACCCACCCCAAGATGACAAAGAAAATGGGTGTCTGTCTTTCTACTAACTCCAGAAAGAACGTAGTCTAGGGTACACAAAAATATCCAAAACAATAAACGGAAGATTAATTACGTGTATAGATATATAGAGGGAAAAAAAATCCCCCAACCAATCCCCCCGATAAAAAACAACTGGCTACGCCCATGAGACAGATAGACAGGCAGCGTGAATTGTTATAAGCCTTGTAAAAACAGATGAGGGTTCCGTGAAGGCGATAACAGATATTTGTTGTCTTTTGTAGAACAACTGAAGGAAAATGTGCAGCCAATCGGATTAATACACATTCTCAAATGATTCACATTTGAAAGAAGTCGCCGACCCAATAGAGACCTTCCAAATTATTCTCACTTATGTACATCTTCTAGCTAGTCATGAACGATTCAGAAGCTAATCGAGCCACTCTTACGCACTATTCAGAGTAGGACACGTAGGTAATGGAGAATTTGTTTCTACTTCGAAAAGACATGTGGCGAGTTCTTTAAACTACTTGGTACTATTAAGGAATAGTCTAGCTTCTTGGGCATGCAATGCGCATTTGAATGTTGTTATTGAAAAGGATTGAACTGGGAGAAATGACGAGCTAAAAGTATAACCCTTACTTACTTCTATATAACCCTTACTTACTTCTATATAACCCTTACTTACTTCTATATAACCCTTACTTACTTCTATATAACCCTTACTTCTATAAAACACTTACTTACTTCTATATAACCCTTACTTCTATATATTCTATATAACACTTACTTACTTCTATATAACCCTTACTTCTATATATTCTATATAACACTTACTTACTTCTATATAACCCTTACTTCTATATATTCTATATAACACTTACTTACTTCTATATATTCTATATAACACTTACTTACTTCTATATAACCCTTACTTCTATATATTCTATATAACACTTACTTACTTCTATATAACACTTACTTACTTCTATATAACCCTTACTTCTATATATTCTATATAACACTTACTTACTTCTATATAACCCTTACTTCTATATATTCTATATAACACTTACTTACTTCTATATAACCCTTACTTCTATATATATTATATAACCCTTACTTACTTCTATTGTAGTTCAGATCAAAGTGAAATGTGATCAAATAAAAATTTGAACGTGTTCGAAGACTCCTGATAAAAACATAGTGCCTCTTGCAAATACACTAAAGATTGAGTTGATTGTTGACATGGACCGCGACTATTACGAAGTGATGTAAGGTTTAGTGATACCAAGTCAAACAAACAAACTGTTAGTTGAGAGTTTATTAAAAAGCAAATAATAAGACACACAAGTTTGAATACTCTGGAAATGTTTGTTTCAAATAGAGACGTAGATACAAAATGTCTGTGTATTTAGCAGGAAGCAAAAAAAAAAGGCAAAATAAAGAATAAAACAATGTTTAAATAAAGGCAAACAGAACTGGTCACATAACTCCCTGTTGACTGTTGTGAGTAGCTGACTCATACATTTATCAATATGAGCTTTGTTTTATGTCTGTCTTTCCTATATACAATTATTCATTAAGCAACAAAGCCAAAATTGACTATTAACTAATTCATTCCTAGAACCAAAATACACGAATTGGAAAGGTTTTAACACTTGTAAGTTTGGCTTGTTACGTTACATCAAATAAGCAAAGTATTTATGTATCTATTATTGCATACTATTTTTATTTTTCAAACTAGCTAGTTTAACTAGTTTCCCACAACTATTTTTACAATCTGTGCTTCTTCCATATTTCAATACCAATGGAAAATAATTATGATAAATGCATTCTTATTGCGTTGTTAACAAACATAACGTAGGCTCAAAGTACTTTAAGTACATAACAAACATAACGCAATCTCAATACACTTTGAGAATAAAAAAAAATAAAAACCGTTGGCTCAATGTACTTTAAGTACATAGCTAACATATCGTAGTCTCTATGTGCTTTGAGAACATGACAAACATAACGTAGGCTCGTGTGTACATTAAGTACATAACAAACATAACGTAGCTCAATGTACTTTAAGAATAAAACAAAAACAAATAACATAGGCTCAATGTACTTTGAGAACGTAACCAGCATAACGTAGGCTCACTGAGAAACTAGCAAATAAAGTAGAGATACAAATGAAGACAATGTCAGTGCTGTATGAGCTGAGAGTTTTAATGTTCTTTTTGCACGTGGTCAAGCACATCGTTTGAGGTCAATAGGCTTCGGGTTACATGTATTGTAAAGACACACTGGCTTCATTTTTTTTTTTCGGGGAGGGGGGGAAGCATAACTAGAAAACATGTCCATGGTGCTCAGGGATCTCTGAGGGACTGATCGGCGCAATAAGGGTACACTAGTGACCAAATGTTGCTAACTTTTAATCGATGTTCACAATCATAATGTAGTTATAGTCTGACCTTTTTTTACGCTCTACTTTAATCTGACAAATTATTGAAATAATCTAATAGTCTTGGCTGCTACTTGAGAAAATGTCAGTATTTGAGTTGATGTAGGCGCGGTGGCTGAGTGGTCAAGTGTCAGCCAAGCCAGTTACTTACACGGTTATCGCCATCAATATATGAACGCTTTTCATGCAATGCATTAATACAAATTCATAGCGAAGAAAAGTACTAAATGGTAGAAGCAGGATGAGTCTTACAACTTTAATAAAGCCTGCTAAATATTTGTAATCTGCTATTAATGGTAAGGACAAGCTGTTTTTTTTAAATGACTTTTGGAGGGTTTGGGCAAGACAATAGTTCACGAGAAATCAATAATTGACAATGATGGGATACCTAGAAAATATTTTCTATTTTTGATGTCATGTGTTCATTGATAAGACGCAAAGAGTTGTTCTAGATTCAACTTTATAGCTAGGACGAGAAATACATGGAGTGCTCAGCGGCTTTTTACTTTAATCTCGACCTTTACATGTGACCAGTAATAAGCTTTACACTTCAGTGACAACACGTGACCAGTAATAAGCTTTACACTTCAGTGAAAATTTGACCTACTCATAATTTCTCATTTCAATTTCGAAACAAGTACATTTTTTTAAATCTCCGAATCTTTCCAAGGAACTATTTATATTGGTTCTCTATTTGAGCCAAACAGCCATTTCTCTATTTTTGCCCCCCAACAAAACAAGTAAAACTGAATGCAAAGATGTCACACACTCAAAGTTTTCATAGAATATATAGAAAGAAACATGCACTTTTAGCTAGGATATAAATATAATACACTTAGTAAAAAGAAACGCTGACAACTCTAGCAATATGTTATATATTATGTGGTTACAGAAATCAAAATTGTATATTACAAGAGTTCACTATCTTGCAGGATATTCACTATGACCAGGAGAATGTTCCAAGTTCTCCAGTTCTTTACAAACAATTAGAAACTGTTCAGTTAACGACGAGAAAGTCCTAGATTTGACCTCGTTATACTGAACATAATCAAATAAAAGTCAACATCAGAACATGAACTTTATATTGAAATAGAGATTTGGAAAACAATGAAATCAAAGTTGCAACTGATGAAGATTGCAGGCTTGTTAAATGTTGATGTTTTGTTGTATGGATGACTTGATGAAGAATGCAGGCTTGTTAAATGTTGATGTTTTGTTGATGAGTTGATGCTAAAACAATTCATGAAACAAATCCTTACTCTCGAGCCATCGATTGAACGCCTGGCACTTGTACTTCCTGGGCCTCCTGGACCAGGGCACATGGCGGGCAGCAACAGATGAGCAGGAGGTCATTGAAGGTAGAGCCGGCGATGCCCCTCGTCTCGCGGATCTTGCCCCTGACCTTGATGGCCGCCACAATGTTGACCAGAGGAACTATATACGCCAGTCCACATGTGAAACAGTTTTCCCCAATAGCCTCGGCGTTCTTACCGAAGGTGTAACAGGGCACAAAGTAGGAGATAATGCACAGGCCAAAGTTGTCAAAGCAGCCAAATAGTCCATGCTGCCAGTCGCCAGACATTCTTAATGGGCGGATTGGAGAGGTTGAGGTAGAATGATGATGTGATGGCAGAACTCTAACCTAATGAAGTGAGAAATGGAACAGCGAGCTCTCTGCAATCACCTGAAAATAATCAAATACAAATGTTTAAAAACAAATAAAGCAAACTGTCGATTTACATTTTATAAAATTGGTAAATAACTATGTAACATATGTAAATATAAGGAATATGTACCATACTATTTGGGAATATATATATATAACTGAACGTCATAAATGTACCAAGGCACATCACTCAAATTAATTATTGCTAATTAGATAATCATGTGCTGGTTAATTTATAGTTACGGGTCTTGCAAATATATTAAAAAAGAAATTTGTTTTTTGAGCAGATGTGAAGAAGTCATTATGTGAAGTAGAAAGAAAGATCAGATATACATTTATAGATATTGAACAAATCAAATTTTGTATTTGAAGTCAATAACATCAAAGAAGTGTACACTATGTATATAAATATATACTAGTGTTGCACCGGATAGTACATTATACTACACTGCCAGAGCCGGATATGGCCGAAAAATTAAATATGATATCCGGCCGGAGCTGGATACCCACAAACGTCTTGTAATAAACTCGTATAACTAAACATTGTGCAAAACGTTTAATATCATACCACTATTCCTACTAGCAGTACACAGCTCGTTGATTTGTTCCTATGGTTGTAACCTCCCATCTATTCCTTTTTTTTTTAAATTTCACTAAACAGACCCCCACATTTGAACTTTGTATCCCGTGAATCTGTTTGGAGGAAATTTAACTTCCTACTTTATTTCCTTCTCTCTCTTTCCCACATTTTTGTTACATTTGTTCACCCTGCGCTTCGTAATTTCTCAGACATAGACTTTTGACTTAATTTAGAAAGACCCCCTTTGTAACGCCCCCCCCCCCCCCAGACATAAATATGCTTTTATCCCGAGAATTCTAATATGGCCTATCAATTTTACTTATCTGCTCCCCCACCCCCCATTTTAACTACCTACCGCCCACAACAAAGAAATTAATTCTACATACAATCTCTGACTTTTCTTCGGCTTCTTATTATTTAATATACTCGAACCCCTTCCCACACACACACGCTTTCGCACTTTTTTTTAAAAACTTTTTTTTAAAGCATCCTCCGATTGATTGACCCTTCATCACACACTTTTCAGTTTTTGAATTCTATAAATAGCATCTATGTTTAGTTTTAACCTCTTTTGCGTCCTTGAAACCTAAGCAATGGACGTGATTGTTTTCACCTTCTATTACTGTGTAACGAATGAAAGTTGAACAACATTTATCAACAGACAGCGCTAGCACAAACTCATCTGTGTAACGAATGCACGTGTCTGTGTGTATGTACAATGTCACCATCTGTAAAGGGGATGTGTGGCATGGTCAATGTAGAATATGTTAATGTATATTAAACGTATGTAAATCTCACAAAAGTAAAGTGCAGTCTTGGTTGTAAAGTGGGTAGATGTGTTTGTTCAGGTATTTCAGAATATCAGCTGCTCATCAGGCTTCCATTTCTAAGTCCACGGATACTTATAGTGGATGTTAGTTAATTGTTGGAATTTGAAGCGTTGTAACAGTGGCGTAGCTAGCCAGGTGCGAGTGGTGGCCACATAGGGCAAGTGGTGAGAGGCATGAAATTAAGGATAATTTTTTTCAATAAAATCAACGCATTGTACATACACGAACAAAGGCAAACTACTGAATTTGAAATGTTGACTACAAATGAATTTACTTTGCTACTTGTATTAATCTCCCATATTCTTTAATCAAACTTAAGCTGTTAACCAGGTTAAGTCAAGTTAACTAGATTTGTTTAAATCTGTGAAGACAATGTACTTTTTCACGCCCACTTTCTTCTGGGGCACATTTGGTTACTCCATTGTTCAGTATACAGGTTTCATCTTGATCTAGAGCTTATAAATAAATGCCTTAGACTCTAAAATAGCAGAATTTGGCACTTAATGGGCATCGCGAACAAGTTGAAAAACAATGACAAAGACAAAATCTAGATCATTTCTATGGGTTTGTGAAATTACTATTAAAGTTCGATCCACTCCTGAGAGACAATGTGCTCCCAACTAAACTTAGTTCCAGACCAAATACTTCCATGTCTCCACAAATACATAACGAGCCTGTTGTACTATTGGGTGATACGATGCCAAATATTGTTTGATTTTTTGACAGTTTCCCTGACATCACAAAACTGGATCAATTTTTCCAAATGTTGAGGTTACGTTTTCATGGATAATGATGGGGTACAAATTCTATAGTCTTTTATTGACATCTTAATTCATTATCTGCTCGAACCATTCTTAGTTTGGTTGGAATTCAGGCGGAAGCTAAAATCTATTCAGTAACATTTTCCAGTACACTTGACCGTTTACACACCTTTTTATCGACTTCAGCACGCCGCTAGGATGTCCTGAACAAAATAATTGAAAATATTCTTAAGCGCTTTGGTTAAAACGCCCTGGAACGCCAGAGGAGAAGTCGTTAAGATGAGTATGGATATATATTAAAAAATTATAGAAACTCTAGAGACATTGATGAAAACTCATCTGCTAGGTCTGAATCAGGTGGATTGTTAGTTGCTATGAAATCTTCATTTTTTCACCTACCTTGGGTTTTCGGTCCTTGTATAAACTGAGTTAAGCATGCGCAATTTTTCCTTCAAAAACAGGAGATTGTCAAGTCGAGACTGCGCACTTAATCGGATAAGATTAAAAACATTCTTAACTACTAGTCGGGAGAACATTGCTGAAGCCAGCGTTACCTTGACAGAATGCATGTGTTCAGATTTGGTGATTAGCGCAGAGCCTCAACGACGTATTAGCCACAATATGCCAGACAAAAAAAAAAAGGTGAAGATTTTGTACGAGCATACAATTAAGAGCTAAGGATGGAAATGTATTTTTCCTTGGACGGGAAAGTTCAAGAAATAATAACCTGATATGAACAATATCATAATGTGGTAGGTAAATGTGAATTTTTGTCACCATCCCAACGTTTGAATCCTCAGATCAAAATCAATCTCGATAGTGTTCACAGCGACATTGACAAAAACGAATTCCATCTGGAGAGAAAGAGACTTCAACGGTTTGTCGCAGTTTCTTCAGAAGAATTTCAACTTCTGCAACGAGGACAATGAGTAAGAGCTTTATTTCTAATTCAAAAGATGTCGGCTAGATGATTCAGTTGGAAAATTGTTTTTATTTTTATATTTCTAACAATGGTGGTAAGAGAGGTTCCATGCGCGTAAAGTTTGTTTCAGACTCAAATTGACAATTAATGGTAATCAACGATATACAAAAAATGCAACTTACTAATTTGGCAATTGATGTAAAAAAAAATAATTTCAATTTTGTCAGCAAGAAAGCACCTAGGATTTTTGTGGTATCTTGCTGATTTTTTGTGTGCCAATAAGCAATACTTTAACAATAAATACACATAAGTTCGACAAAAGTCATTTCGTTGCTTTATTTCGTTTTTTTAAGAAGGGGAGGGGCATCACGACGAGGGCTACCGCACTGAGCATCATATACCCTAGCTACACCACTGCGTTGTAGTTCATATTTCGTGGTTTGTTGATGTTGTACATGTTTCGGATGTTCCTTCAGAGTTGAAAATAATTTACTTCCGAGTACAAAACTTCCGCAGGACGACATGGAATGAGAGCAGGCAGGGTTTGAGTCCGGGACCATCGATAAGTCCGAACGACAGTCCAGCGCAAAAACCGCACGACCAAGGGTTTTAATTCATTCAATATCGGCAAACGATATTTGGTTAACAGCGGGAACAACTAGTATACATATTTATGACTTCAGCCTTAGATTGTGCCAAAGCGTATATTTAATTGTAATCTATAGACTTACTATTGATATATAGTTCTAGATCTACAGTCATTTAGACCAAAGAGCATTAGGAAAACCAACTCTTAGAAGAAAACAATTCATCCACATCCTCACTTATCATAAAGTAAATAGACTGTGTGTCCGACTGAACAACCTGATCAGATAGACATACATGTACATATGTAGGCGTATCAAGGATTGGTCTCTTTAGTCTCACAAAAAGTTGCAAAGGGAAAATTGCAATAGTGTTTGTAGTATGTTCAGTGGTCAGGCAAGAAAACACATTGGCTTGATTAGTTAAGCATGAAATATATTAATATATTCGTGGTTTGTGTAGCAAAAGGTCACTTGTGTAGGTGTGTGTACTATTGTCCAGCCTCCTAAATGAGATTTATCAAGTAAACAAACTCGGCACTCGTGTAGAGGTGTGGCTTCTAGTACATTGAGTTTTTTTCTCAAAGTAAAAAAACTCATTAAGGGAGTGACCCGAATAGATGTGTGGCTTGAAGTCCAGCCCCATAATTAAGAGTTACTACCATGTAATTAAACTCAGTTCCCTCTTAAGGCGTGACCTCTAGAAAGTGTCAACATGCAGACGTCCGTACTGACTGATCACCTGTCAATCTATGAGCTCAATGTAATGATTTAAACAAATCAAAGGGGGTGGAGATATACCCCCATAGCTAGATAG